TCAAAGGGAAATTTCTAAATGTAAAGTGGGAAATCTGCTTGAGACGGGACCAGGGCCCGCGGTGGGGGAAAAAAGGAAAAAACGTGGTGAAAAAGAGAAAAAACCCGCGGGGGGGAAAGTGCGCGCGGTGGGCCTGGGGGGGGGAAAAGGGGGGGCCCACACCCCCCCCCCCCCCCCTCAGACTGCCTCTGATATTTTTCACCTTTTTCCCCACTGCGGAGCCTGGTCCCAGGCTGGACTGGCTTGGATAAACAAAATGAAATCTCCAGCAGTGACACTGCCCCTTAAAATAGACATTGAGAAATGGTAGAGCTCAAAGCCTGGGGCTCAAAGATTCATGTAATATAGATATTTATATACTATATAGACATGTTCACCCCATGTAAGGGGATAATCCAGGACAGTCTTGGATGTGGATTCCGGATTCCAGGTACTGGATTCCAGTATTTTTCTTTAAAACTGCAGAATTCTGGATTCCGATCATTATTGGGATTCCAGATTCCTTGAGTTGTATTCCGGATTCCAAAACTCAGGATTCCGGATTTTATAAGCAAAATTTTCTGGGATTCCGGATTCCGTAACAGGGCTTAAAGTTTAAATATGAGTTTGGGAGCACTTGTGCTACTCGATGTAAATTTTTGGGCGCACTGCCGAAATTTTAGGTGCACAGCTGAAAATTTTAGGAGCACAGCTTATAATATTTTGGGAGCATCTATTTCAAAAGAAAAAAGTAAAAAGCTTTTAAGCGTTAAAACAGTGCTACGTTTATATTTCATCTTCAGTTTGTTACTTTTATTTCAGTCCCGCGATTGATAAAACACGGCCGATTTGCCACGCAGTAATATCTTCGCGATTTTTAATACTAATTTTCCTTTTTGACAGTACAGTTGTGACTAAAGAAAACTTACACTTGAAAAAAAAAAAATTCAAAACTGACAACAGTGAGTATGTCGAACTAGAATGAAAATTTATCTTTAATGAATTTTTTAAATGCGCAATGACTTACATGTAACTGGGATGTGAGTTAAAAACTTTCCCGGGTCAAGGTCATACGAAAATCACTCTATCAATCGTAAAAAGTACATGCGCGAGCGGCACAAAAGAGGAGACGCGTGAGCAAACTTCGCCGCTCGCTTGCGCGGCTTGTTTCACTCGCCCACTGATGGATAGCTTGTTCGCAGGCTGGCGAAACAGTTCAATACCCCTCTGCCGTAAATAAGCTGAGTGACGAATTTTCAGTTTTACTTTAAAACTCTACAAAAAGAGACATTGGAATCAAAGAAAAACAGAAAGATAACGGCTTAGTTTCATTTAAAGTTAACTCGACTACTTTGAGTGTTTGCCTGAAACTTTAATCAGCTTTAAGTACATCGTTTTCACATGACGTCATGGCTGCCATATTTGTATACCAAAAGAAATCCTGTGGGAATTGAACTGTTTTCACATGTTAAAACTTTCTATTCCAAGCAATTTGCAAAGCTGCTGACCACGTGACCAAAAACGATCTATAAAGATAATTTACCCAATAAAACTCATGTAATCTCCACAGCCGTACAGTTAACAGTCTCATTTCTCTAACTGCATATGTACCTGCGTTAAAATAAACCTACTTGCAAAAATTCTATGTCAAGCTGTTATATTTGTTTTTATAATTAACTATCGAATCATGTCAATCTGTGGTGAAATTGATCAGCAGAGCCTTAATATCGGCGTGACACCCCTCTTTTTAAATTGTGAGGAATACAGTGGAATTCTGACGTTTGGAAACGTCATTTTACGCCCTTCCATGTTATTTATTTATTTGTTCATTTATTTACAGATTTAGCATAATAAACAAGTAGGCTACTCAGACGTATTATACGTTTTAAAGAAGCAGTAGGTCACTATTTAAGTCACCTACGAGTTTATCCCACCCGCAATTTATACTTTATAGGCAGCTGAGTAGAAATTCCATGGACTTGTTTGCCGATCCTAGATAAAAACTGTTCTTTTACCCTTTGTTTTCCGAGCTAATCCAATGCTGTGTTACTTGGAAGGTTGGAAATGTGGGGATTCCACTGTATAATAAATGCAATCTCTTGAGCAACAGTCAAGAAAATTGTTTGATGAACTCTTAGCTATAGGTACCACTACCGAAAAAGTTCTTTTAAAAATATCTAGTACTTCGTATAACTACTAACCCTTCCCCAATATAAACTACTGCTATAATTTCTTTAAAATCTCTGCTATTGTTCACGTTTTTGTAATGTATTTACAACGTAAAATAATCTCTAAGATATAGTTTTCAGTTTCGTGTAACTGTAATGCTCTATTACATGTTAAGTCTAAGAATAATGTCTAAAAGCCATTTTCAGAGCTGAATTACTTGGTTCATTCTATCCAGAAGTATCAATAATATCCTAAATTATTCCTTGGAGTGCTGTGGCATGTTTAATCGCTTTCTGTGCAACGGTTTTTACAGCTAATCGTCAAGAATGTTGAGTGTGACATGAAGATAAAGCGGTTTTTGCGTCAACAGGTTTAACCTCTTGCGGTGAAAGTCTGTTGGCTTCTGATACCTAAAAGAACAGGTTAATCCGGTTAGCTTTCTTAATTGAAAGCTAGCAGATTCAGTAAAATACGAGCGGTCCTTGACTACCTTCGGAGACAGCCTTTTCCAGGGATTGAGACAGGGTGCAGTGCACAAAGAGAAGTTAGCAGAGTTGGGGCGGCGACTGGGGGATTTCGCGCCACTGTCCACAATCTAAACTTCTGGAACAGACTTTCTCAGGGATAATAGGATGCAGAAAGTACGCGAGCGCGGGTGAAAACCGCCGCGAGACACAGGAGACACAGCAAAAACAGGAAAGGGAGTCACTCGTTGGCGAGACAGAGAAAGAAGAGAAAACGAAGGTCTCTCATTTCTCTCCTTCCACCGCGTGTAGCCTGTCATCGCGGGCAGCGAATCTCACGCGCACTCGCGTATTTCGTGAACCCTAATGAGGGGGTAGTCGTAGTACACGGAACCAGTAGACCCACAAAAAAATCAAAAACTTCGCCGTTTTTAAACAAAGCCTGTCTACTTACAGTTCTATGCAGGCGGGACCCGGCTTGAACTCATCTTGTTCCATGAATGCGAAACATCTCGTACTCACGATGTCTTTTTTGGGTTTGTAGTGCTTGAATTCGAAAAATATCGCTGTACCTTCGAACGAAGGACAGGATAAAACAAAAAAAAAATAAATTATGAGGAAAAAAATTTCTTACCATTTCAACGTCTCGAAAGAAAGACACGTTCGTTAGCCTGGAATTAGCCTGCGTAGAAGGCGCTGGTTAAGTATTGTGGTTAGGTTTTACGTTCTCCCTAGTGGGCGCGCGCGTCCACGAAATTTCTCCGTTCGCCCTTACAAAACCGGCGCCTGCTACGCAGGTTAACCTTGAATAGTTCCGTCGCAGCTTATTATCATTTTTACCTCTTGGAAGCTTTTCTATCGGTTTTTGAATCTCCACATCAAAACCAAAGTTGATGTATTTTCCATCTTTTCTGTTTGACATGGGTCTTGGGGCGGGGTTACATTAACACTGTTAGCGTCTGCAGGGATGAAAAAACCATGTAACAAGTTAGCCAGTCTCTCTTATTTCTGAGACAAGACGAGACGCCCTCGTTTCTGGTGTCTCGCGGTGAACCTCCACTAAAAAGAAAGAACGCAGTCTCAGCCTCAGTCTGTCTCTGACACGGTCTAGTGAAGGTGAATATTTCAATTAAGCGCCTCTTTTCAGGGACAGGATAGTTAAGGAAAAAAATAGTTGGTGGAGAAATGAAATGATACTGGTTATTTCAGTTTGCTTCCTTCACGGGAGCTTTCCCTTCACAGGTGAACGGAATTAATGCTTTAGGTTCACTCCATTCTTGTTCGGAAGATAACATTCGGGCCGGTGACAAAGAAGAAAACGTTTTCCTGGCAGACACAATTTCATGCTCTACAGAATGCAAGCCCGCCACGTTTCTAGTAGAGGAACTGAGTTGAATCTTGCACGCAAGTCACGCCCGTTTCACATGTACTATAACGAAAAACGCAGTATAACGGACACTTCACAATATCGCAATGTTCGCGCTTTCTATGCATGATTGTAAATGTCAGTTATCTAAAGAGCGAAATGTTTTATCAGTACCTTTAACAGAGACAGTGATGAAAGGATTTAGGTAAACATGCGCATCTTTTAGACCGATCCGGTCAATTTGCACAACAAAACGATGAAATCGCTCTTGATATGGTATCCTTGGCAACAACGACCCTCCCTCGGCTGCAAAGCAACGACAGCAATTCAGTTTCTTGTTGCAAAAGTTTAATCAGTGAAAGGAAGTATAACTATTGGATGGCAAGATAAAAAATGTAATAGTACATTAACAAATAAATATATGTCAAGAAGTCCCTCGTTACTCTCGACGATATTTCTCACTGGGAGAACTAGGGTTTTGTATGTCAAGCAAGTGCCAAAATTACCTCTTCTTGATTATACATGCGTGGACGACCCATGCGTTATCGACGTCCCCTCTTCTTTGGAAGAATTAGTCTTTGACGAAATGCTTTGTAAAGACAAGAGTAACTTAAAGTCAACGCATTCTGGCCAGTTTTGGAAACCAACTAAAAACCAGTTTTTCTCTAGGGGCTGTCGGGGTACAATGGCTAAACTTAAACTAGTAATAGTTGACGCTACAGCTGCCCCCGTTCTGTATATTGTCGGTTAATAGTATTTTTGCTGGTTGTGTAGCTCTTTGAAATATACCGATTCATAATGAGGATTTTCACATATATTCCACACCATAGGTGAGATAAATACAGGAAACGCAGGGTTCCATGTACAGTTTCAGCTCGATTTACACAGCTTTGATCAAAACATTCTCAGTTTCAAGAATAGTTTATTCTAAACCATCAGAAAAGATTTAATTAGAAGTTGAATTTTTCGCTATTTCTCTTTCACTTTTTACATTCAGTTCATTTTATTTGCCGGAAAGTAAGCCTTAGAAATTAAAAGGACGTTTGATCGATTCACCACAGCGTTATTCAAAACTTTATAACGAAAGGACATCTGTAAGCAGGGAAAAAGTCAGCACAGAATTTGATTGTCGGCGAATTTCTGTAATTGTCCATCAATCTGCTAGTGATAAGCTAGCCGTTGTTCACTCGTCTTGCTTGTTTGGGGCTGAGTCTCATTCCGGTCAAAGAGAGAGAAAGAGTGTCTGGCAAGGTTTCCAATATAAATCAAAGATTTGTGAACTCGTGTCTGGCAAACTCTCCAAGTGTTTACATATACACAGTTAAANGCTTTGATCAAAACATTCTCAGTTTCAAGAATAGTTTATTCTAAACCATCAGAAAAGATTTAATTAGAAGTTGAATTTTTCGCTATTTCTCTTTCACTTTTTACATTCAGTTCATTTTATTTGCCGGAAAGTAAGCCTTAGAAATTAAAAGGACGTTTGATCGATTCACCACAGCGTTATTCAAAACTTTATAACGAAAGGACATCTGTAAGCAGGGAAAAAGTCAGCACAGAATTTGATTGTCGGCGAATTTCTGTAATTGTCCATCAATCTGCTAGTGATAAGCTAGCCGTTGTTCACTCGTCTTGCTTGTTTGGGGCTGAGTCTCATTCCGGTCAAAGAGAGAGAAAGAGTGTCTGGCAAGGTTTCCAATATAAATCAAAGATTTGTGAACTCGTGTCTGGCAAACTCTCCAAGTGTTTACATATACACAGTTAAACGCACCTTATAACCTCATCTGCCCTTAATGAGTGTCTTTTGGTCCATAACTTTCAAAACAACTGCTCCACAGAATGTCACTGCGTAACGCAAAAGAGTATCGAAGTATGACCGCACAATAAATGTCACAAAATCTACCTGAGCGGTCCCTTTGGGATTTTCTGTCTTTACGTCATCCTAACCATTTCGTACTTGCGGGCGCAAACAATAGAAACGTCATTATTACCTACCGTTTACTCGCGGCCCCTGTTCGAGCAAATCGAGTTTTTTTCTAGTATACTGACTGTATATTTGAACTGTAAGTACTGTCCTTAATATACGCGCGAGTTACTAGGGTGCCTCTTCGGGATTTGCCTCTAAGCGAAATCCCTGCGGGGGCAAAAAAAAAAGGTAGCCATATTTTCTGTTCATCCATTCGTGGATAAATACAACCACAAATAGTTTCAGTAGAAGTATAAAGTAAACTTACTTCTTTTCACTACAAACTCATGTACTAACCTGCCGAGGCAACAAATTCACTTCCATTTTCCTCGCCATATCCTGCTATACCAGGTCCACTGTAAATACAAATAAAAATGGAGATAATATATTACATCATGGTATGATTTACTGACATGGTAAATATTCCAGTAGAGAATCAGCGTTCAATTAGCGCGAGTATAAAGCCTTCCTTAGGGGTTAGTGGAAAGGAGAACTTAGAGGGTGGGGGAGGAGGTGGGAGGAGGGGAGACAGAGAGGATAGTCGCTGTCTCCCCTTCACTCTTTTCTCTACCCTATTTCCTCCAGAAATGCCTGATTCTCAGGCTAATGTTTAGTGAGTTAATCACAGGTTAGTAATACAGATAATGTTAAGTGTTAAATTTGGTACCCACACACCAGGAGAAAAAAGGATGCATGCAGTCAAAAGAGTTCCAGTTGTCAGGGATATCGGATGAAACACTGTCTTGAGTGTGAGATATACCTCTAAAACGATAAAAAATGCTTGAAGAAATTCAAGCTGGAGTTCATAATTTTCATTGTTATTTTAATTTTGTCAATTTATGTATAAGATTTCCAAACTCATTCAAGGTATAGAGGATGTTACATGGCTGCGTGGAGAAACAAAATTTCTCTTTGAGTGTTAAAAAATATTTCACGAGTGAGAGCAGCGAACAAGTAAAATATTTTTTAACACAAGAAGAAAAATTTTGTATCTCCAAGTGGTCATGTAATGTTCTATTGATTATAGAAACACCAATGAAATACCAAACCATTTCACTTTGATATATTTTTTCTTGCTGCGCAAGGTGTGATTTGTTTTGTAGCCATAGCAACAGTGATCTTTTCACTGTGAAGATAACATGTTATTTTGACGTGTGAAGATATCATGTCCTCATGCGAAAGCTCACCTGGTATTTCATTGGTATTTATATAATGAAGTGAATTATCAGTGCGGCTTGCACTGAGGCACATTGAACATGTACAGTGTAGGTGAGATAAATCAAAATAGGATGAAGGAAATGAATACCAGCGTCACACTAGCCTCCCTGCAGATGTCCTTTGGGGTTTGTTTGTCACGCATTCATTTCTTCCTCACGGATGTCTGCTAAACACAGCCGACATTTACGTTCACCAATCAAAGGCTGTTTAAGGATTTTTGTAAAATGTAACCCAAGCCGCTTGTTCAGATTCACACGATCAGTGAGGCTTTTGATTGGGTGTGCGAGAAATTTGTAATAAATACAGAGTTAAACAACTATCAGAGAGAAGCTATCCTACAAATTTTATAGAGAAGACCGATGAGTTCATAAATTTGCCGACGGGATTTGGCAAATCCCTTATCTATCAAGCTTTGCCACTTTTTTGTGACACAGTGCGTAGAACAACTGGGCCGAGTTGTTCAAAGCTAGGTTAAGATAACCCGGAAGCCCAGAAGCTTGGTTGAAGATTGATTGGTGCAGGAAATGTTAGCGAGTGACTTGCACAGTTAGTATGTTGTCCTTGGTCTGCGACTTTTCCAAGCTGCAGCATGATTAAATATTTCGTTGAGAAATAAAATATGGTGAAAAATGAAAGGTCCAATGATTTATTGATTATAAGCATTCTTTCTTTCATTGAAGGAGCCAAATTCTAGTTTGTTGACGGGTAGGTTAATTTGTCGTTCTAGCTTGAAGTTTGGACTTCGGTGGTACCGTGGTCATGTTTACTTAGCTTGTGAATAAATAAAATGCAACAGGAAGACGTGCCTTTTTACAGAACAAGTTTTCAGATAAACCTTTTTCTGCCATTGGAAGCACATTGCTGTAGACTTCGAATTTTTTGTTTTACCGACTCTTGAAAAAATATAACTAAATTTCACGTATTGGTGCTTGGTTCGCGACCCATGACCTTGGTGGAATTACATTTCGCAAAAAAGGAAACAGCCTTTGTTTTCGAAGAATGCTTTGAAAATCTTCCCTATACACATTTGCAAGTTCTCTTTTCTTAATACTTTGAATATATATATACAGAGTTAATAGTAAGTGTTTTCAACCGCGCTGAAAACCGCTCCACGCTCGTGTGAGACACTGTTTTCTGTAGTCTTTCAAAGAAAAGCAGATTATTTTATACTTACAATAACTTCCAGAAAAACTGTACAGCTGACTACAGCTTTATTGCATCATTTCTGCGATTTCTTCATTTGAGTCTCAGGTAGAAGATAGCTGTGCAAATAAATAATTCACTTGAAGAATACAAAGACACATCAACGTCCAGAGTACGTTTGATGAGCCTTGCAATGTCGACTGCACTTCTTAAAACTTTCTTCGGAGTC